TACACTAAATTTTCGTCTATATCCTAAGGCATTGGATCTTTTAATATTGCAGATTACTACTTTCTATATATGAATAAAAAATTTAAACTTTTCTTAAAACTCAACTAACCAAATCTAACCTACAATAGCTAGATGTTTGAAATATGATAAAATCACATTTTCGCTATCCTGAAGGTTAGTGTTGGCTATTGTAGCTTAACAAAATTAAAATAACGTAATCAACTTCTCACCTACAAAAGTGGCCCGCCCAATATGCAAAGTATTTTCGTTTTTTTTTTTTTTTTCATCTACAGTTAACTGACGATATTTTGAATGGATTTTATATGGAATATAATTAAAATACGAAGATACAATAAATTAATAATTACTTAACGTAAAAACAATAATTAATTAATTGATATTTAAATTGCCCTAAAAGCTTTAAAATATAGCTTTTTTCAAGCCTACAAGTTAAACTGTACTTATATACATACTTTGACGATTACAAAATTTTTCGGCAGTTTTAGTGACTAAATCTGAAAGAAAAAACATTGATAAACGTTAGCTTCGCAATTTAATTCAGTTGGACTATTGTACATATTAATATGAGTCCATTAAATTGAATGCTATATTTTTGTATAGGTATTTCAGAGTCCTAATAATTTTTAGAAAATTATTAGAATGCGACCACCTTTACGGTAAGGAGTTTTATTTTCATTCCGATTATGGCGAAGCAATTCATAACAAACTAAGCATATTTTATGATCAAATAAATCCGCTGTTAACCATATATTAGATAAGATCCAAGTGTACATGTTTTTTTTTTTATTAAATTACCCGAAAGCTTTTATTACAACGATCAAAGATCTTCAGAAATACATTATAAAGGTGTGCTAGAATACTGATCCATTGATGTACGAAGAAAAAAAGGGGGGAGATTTCCACTCGCAATGAAATAGCCCCGACCGTAGTCTAAGAGTCCTATACTAAATCGTATGGTCTTTGGCGTTTGAAACGCCAAATGTCTTGTGAATTATCAAGTAGTTTAATTGCTGCTGGGTTGATGTGGTGATACAGCCTTATCTCATGTTTACGGACAAACTTGGTAATCTCGTTCCGGACTGAGGTGATCATCATATCACGGTGGATAGTGTCGTTTCTGGTACACCGGTGAGCAGCGACGATGATACGGGAAGCGATTTATTGGCAGCGTTGAATAATTTCAATGTTGCAC